AATTTGATACGTACCAAAGATTCTCCGTGCCACCTCTTCGCGTATCATGTTCTCCTGATACCAAAAGTAAAAATCAGGCCAAAATTTGATACGTACTAAAAATTCCTCGTGCCACCTCCTCGCATATCATGTTCTCCTAATACAAAAATGTAAAATCCTTCTTCTGGCCGATTTTGGATTTTGGTATCAGGAGCACATGATATGCCAAGAGGTGGCACAACGTTTCTCCTCTTAAAAGTTCAATAACGTTGCAAATTGAACAGAGTGAAAGTTAAGGATCAGGATACCGATAAATGGAGGGAAATTTCACAGCTAATGAAGGAAAAATACGATATTACAACCGAACTAACGGGACGGCTAGTATTGGTTGCCGCATATCAGGGGCAAGCCTGCGCCTACAAGGTGACAACCGTTCGGGCGAACGGGCTATTGTAGGTTGCCGAATAATAGGTGCCTGCGATGTAGCAACCGGGCCTACACATCGGTTGCCATGTAACAGGGGTATAATCCGAGCGTACTTGGTCACAAATAAATTTGTTAAAAACTTATAATACTTTATTCTGTCCTTATCTTACACTTACATTCTATAACCAACAACAAAAAGAAACCAATAAAACGCAAGAAACGCAAAAGAGAGAGAGAGAGAGAGAGAGAGAGAGAGAGAGAGAGAGAGAGAGAGAGAGCACGCTATGCGCCCCATATTTCACACAGATGCGTATAAAGATGTAAATTTGAAGTTTTCTGACTTACGAGACGATCCGAACTGTTATTATTTTTGAGCAAACCACCTTGATACCGTGCAATTTAATGTGAAATTACTTTAATGCTTCCATAATAGTCGATATCACAGTGTAGTTGGCATCGTCGGGCTCCATTGGACATCGTCAGAGTCCGATGGCTTCTGGAAGCAGAAGTTGGTTTCGGTCATGGTACGACGGACACGGTCACGGTTTGGTATCCAGACGAACACTATCGGCAAAGAGGTAGCTCGCATAATTTTACATTCTGGCAGGAAATCAGATCTGGTACCGGGAGAACGCGTCTCGCGTCTCCGAAGGCATTCGATTCTTGGAGTACCTCTTTGCTCGTCACGTTCTCCCGATACCGGGAGTCAAAAGCATAGCGTGAAGTTTGAAACGTTGACATTTCGAGGATTAAACGTGTTAATTTGTAACAACGGATAACGAACAAATATCGACTAAATAAGCGAGTAGGCGAAGGAAGGAAAAAGACATTGGAGGATAATCGCGAAGAAAATTAGCAAGAACGGAGGAAAGCTCGAAGATGTCGGTATCGACGGTGTTCGACGGTTGAGTTTGCGTGGTAGTCGGTAGATTGGAGATTCGGTGAAAAGGAACGGTATCGCGGCAGCGAAGGGGGCGGGTCGGTATCAGCGGCGGCGGTGGTTCGAAGGCGAACGCGCGTGCGTGACCGACGTCGCCGCGCGACGCAGCAGCGACGTAACGACGAGGACGAGGACGTGGACGAGGACGAAGCGGTGGGCCGAAGATCGCCGAGTGCACGGCTACGCGGAGAGACTACGGCTGGTAATGGTGTGGGCCGCGGCACGAGCACAGTGTTTGAAAAGTCGGCACGACGAGACGCACGATCAAGAGCCGCCCCGTCGAGTACGGCCAGAGAACGCGGACAGGCAGCCGGTTGTCCGAGGACCGACCAGCCGAATCTACTGCTACGACCGGAGGCCGGGGACCGTCAACGACGGTGACGCGAAGTTCGAGTCTAAGTACGCAATTGGTCGTATCGCGAGTCGGCTACTAGTGCCGTGGAAGCAACGGTAGCAACGTAACCAGCGCGTAAAATATGCGAGCTGCCGCGAAGACGCGAGGGTAGAGCGGTCGGCGTGGGGTCGAACGAAATCCGTCCGAAAGCGAGGAATCGCGGAGAAATTTGGCTCGGGCGTTCGCGACGTGTCGGTGCGGAGCCAAGCTAGGCTAACCGGCGCATCGGTCGCGCACAGCGCACAGAGCAGTGTCGGTACGGTGATCCGTGTGTGCGCGTCGACGCGGTTGGTCGGGTTCGCGGTGATCGAGCGAGAAAACCGAGCTACCGATCGCCGTCACCGCGCACCGGGGCCGGGAAACGGTCGCGATCTTTGCACGCGCGCTGCTTCTCGCGATAAGATCCGATGGTGGCCGAAACGTTGAGTGTCCAGTGATGTACTCGTAGTGTCGCGACGAGGAACGAAAGCTTCCGAGTGCGCGAACCCGCGGAACCCGCTGTTCGTCGTATCCGCGCGTTGGCAGCGCGGCCCGCTAGGAACCGAAAGCTCGCGTTTCGGAGCTTCCGACGACAACCGAGAGGAGGAAACATATGTCCACCGCGAACGAGTGAGCGTATCGCGGAGGGAGCCTCGATCAGAGAGAGCTTGGACCACCGATCAAAGTCTCGTTTGGCGAGAACGTCGCGCCAACGATGAACGTCGACGATTCTCGATAACGAAGAGAATGCTACGGAAGCAAAGTCGCTGCCGCGTTACCCGGGAGCGACGCTTCGTTACCGCGACTTAATCGATTTCGACGTTAGCGAGAAGACGAGAGGAGAAACCGCGAGGAGGTCGCGAACGCGGCTATCCGATCGAGAGAACGGCACAGTCGTCGAGAAAAGGAATCGAGGGAACGGCAGCTGGAACGAAAGGAGGATCGGGCGATCGACGTGGTACGCGCACAGCTTCCGGGATTCGTGGGTGTTTTTACGCGTAGAGCGTGGATCGATAGGTGTCTCGCGAGCTCCGGTCTCGCGGCTGGTCTGCTCGACGACGCCGAGGTTCGCGTCGGCAGGAAAAGGACCGCGTTACGTCGAAAACGGTCGATCGACGTCGTCGCCGAGAAGCGAAGGAAAAGCAGCGGATCGAAGCAGCGGAAAACGGGTCCCAGGGTCTGGGTCCGGGTTCGCGTTCTTTGGTTGCACGGCTTTTTTTCCCGTGGTTGCCGTTGGTATCGCGCGCGCGGACGTTCCGATCCCGATCGAGTCCCGTGATTTATGGGGGACTTTAGCGCCTCGAGTCTCTTTTCGAACGCCTTGTCGAAATCGTCGATCGGTCCCGCCACTGGCAGCGCCAACAACAACGCCGTAACCGTGACGACCTCGACGATGCAGGACGACCTCTTGATCGAGAAACAAGCCGCTGGCAAGCCCGCGCCGCTCTCGCCGAGCAGCGGCCTGGAAACCGTGGCTGGACAAGACAAGACGAAGGACGCGGTCGAGGTCGAGAGTATCGCTATCACGCCGACGACGCCCTCCTCCGTCGACAAGGACATAGCGTGCAACACCGGCTCCAGCCTTCAAGCGTTCTCCGATCCCGGCAGAGTACCTAGCTTGTGGTCCGCTCCGGATGACACGGGACTCCACGCGTTGCCCGTAAACGGATCCATCGCCGCCTTTCAAAACTTTCCGACCGGTGGTCCGGCCGGTTTGTTTGCCGGAAGCGGACCCACCGTGTCGACGGGAGCGCGTCGAGCAATCACGGCTAGTCACAATTTTCCTCAACAGCATGGAAACGCCGGAACGCCTACCAGCAGACACGGTCTCCAGGTTTCCTCGGCTCAACAACAGCAGCAACAACAGCAGCAACAACAACAACAACAGCAGCAGCAGCAACAGCAACAGCAGCAGCAGCAACAACAACAGCAGCAGCAGCATCAACAACAGCAACAACAACAACAGCAACAACAACAGCAACAGCACCAACAGCAACAGCCTCAGGCAACTTCGCATCCGGGTGTTTACCTTCCCGGCAAAGGTTACGCGGCCTGGTCCGGTGGCCCTCAAGCACCTCAACAGTGGGGCGCTGGACCGCAAGCGGCCGCGGTCGCGAATCCTGGACTCTCGCCGTGGAGTCGCGGCAGATCCGTACCGAATATTCCTCCCCTGCATTCGTCCCTACACGCCGCAACCGCGGTAGCGGTAGCCGCTGGACTTCAAGGAAGGAAACCGAGCCCCACGTTTCCCGGTCACCCGGGACCACCGTCTCATCCGTCTTGCATCAGTCCGGTAAAGTTTCGGAGGAGTACCTCGTATCCGGGGAAGGGCAACATATACGCGCCTCAACCCGCGCCCACGTTCGAGGTCACCGCCGCCGACGAGAGGGACTTGCTGCAATTGCCACCGTTTCAGCAGGTGGGTTGCCGACGACAACGACAACGACAACAACGACGACAACGACAACAACGACAACCACGACGACAAGAACGACGACGATGACGACGACGACGACGACGACGTTCCTTTTCGAACGAAGCGGTTTCTCTCGTCGTCGAATCGAAAGCGCGACGTACGCGTTTCTCCGAGTTTTTACACTGGCGTGCTCCGTTATCGATCGTTGACCACCGACCACGATAAAGGCTACGTTGCGAAGCAACAGCGGTAATCGTGCACGCCACTCGAAAAACTATACACGCCGATAGCTTCGACTTCCGCAGTTTCGTTGGTGCACGCACTCGATGCCAGGTTATGCAACCGCTTCGAGACTCGCATTTAAATTTAGACGGCGCAACGGCTGTTTCAACAGTCGGTCGCTATACGCCGCGACACGATCGTTTTTAAACGGAACATTCGTCTGTCGAATATTCGAGAGAGTATCCGAAACTCGATCGACGCATCCAACCTCGAGCTCTCCGCTTCGAATCGTTCTCGCTGTTTCCATTCTCGACCGATCCAGGCTCGCCGAGCCACCGAATCGATCGCCGTCCGATCGAATTCGCGACCCACCAACGGAGAAAACAATTATCTATGACGTTTCGTAAACTTTCCATGGAATATATTCGATCGGAGGCGCGTCGATCGACGATCGACCGCTTCCACGAGACACAAACGCGAACGCGAACGCGCCCGGAAAATGAAAACCTTTTCCGATACTTATTTTGCCACCGATGTCTGACCCAATTCCTTTCCTGCGCGGCAACTCTAACGGTGTCTAGCGGACGTTTAAGCCTCAGCTATTTTAACCACTTGTCAAAAATAGACCTGCATACCGTCCGAGAGAAACGACGGATTTCGTTGCGCGAGCTCGCGCCCTTTGCGCATCCGGTTCCAACCGGTTACGAGTGTATCGCTCGAATAAACACCGATCGGCGCGTTTATCTTCGATTTTTTCGTTTTCGAAAAATCACCGCGATATCGGCTGGATTTCGTTCGTTATCTAGACCTTCCAACCGCTCGCTATCGTTGAGATGTTACGCGGACTAAATTGCGTACGATCGTCGAGCGAAACGCGAAAATTGATTTCGTTTCGAGGCGATCGCGCGGACGCGAGTTTTTTTTCAAAACTGATACGAAAAAGCACCGCGTTATCGATGCGTTCGTAGATATAAAGCACGTTACGTATTCTTACTCGAGCAGTTTTAGTGCTCGCATCGCGAGTTTACGAGACGCGGGCAAACGTCGAACGAGCCTCGTCGGGTTTATCGACGTCGGTGTAACCTTAACGTTTGAATCGATCGCGCGTCACGGGCGAATGCGATTAGTTCGAAAACAAACACGTCGTTTAAACTACGCTATACTTTTACGTCGACGCATTCCGAATGAAACCTAGCCAAAGTTTCCCCGAGGAAGGAATCGACGCGCGATAAGGACAATATTTCGCGACGAATTTCAAGGTTGATCGGCGAATCGGCCGAATCAGCTGAAAAAAGTGACGCGTGTACAGCGCGTAAAAGCTACGTCGTAAAAAAAATGCCAACGAAACGGAGCTACGGTGTATTTTATCGATTTATCGAATTCACTTTACGGAATTAACCCTTCGCGTATGGGAAAATAGAACGTATAGGATAAACCGTGCAGCGGTTGTCCGAGATTACTCGGCACCATAACGAGTATCATCGATAGCCCTCGTCGACCTTGTTACGCATCCTCGTCGAAAGTGTCGAGATTCTGCTTACGTTTCCTTATAGACCTGTGACTAGCTTCTTCTTTTCTTTTTCCAAGTCGGCGTACTCGTGTCGCTCTACGCGAGGATACGCGGATACGACGATACCAAAGCAAACCGATCGACGACGAGTCCATCCTTTGCCAACTCGAATGCTCGATGTCGATTTTTCCGCTGCTCTTGACTCCTAGTCTAGACATTCCTACCGTAGGTTTACGTGAAATCGTTAACGGAACGCGATAGCGGTGACAAGAGTATCCAAGAGAGCATCGCGTCGGCGTCGATTCGAAAAAATACGACGCGCGAAGATAAAGATTTTTATTGGCGTTACCTTGACGCACCGAGCTTCGTTACGCATCGTCGTCGAGGTATTTCGTTACGAAACGGGACTCCGTGGTAGCGCGGCTCTGACGAAATATGTATGTATGTACATAGAACGCAGATACCGCTGGCCACGCGGCATAACCACGCTCGAACGTTCTCGTTCAACCGCGAGCTCGTTTACGATCGCGACCGTTTTCCACGCAATCCTCGCGCTCGCGACCTTACTCGAACGATTACTTCTTGTTCGAGCTTGTCCGTTTCTACCAAAATTCTCTCGATCCACGAGTTTCAACGAAAATCCAAAACATCTTTTTATCTGTGTTATTCGACCATGTCACACGACACACGCCTAGATATATCGAAATGTAGGCGGAAGCAAGCGGCATCTGGTATTCGAGGCGAGCGATACGCTAGGAAACCATGCGAGAAAATTGATAAAAGACGATTTAGCTGGTAACGAGCCGGCCGATAGCTGTGTAACAGATACGAAGCGTTTCAAAAGTAGGCGTTCGAAATAAAGCAAAGGTAATTGTCTCGATCGAAGACCGAAAAGTTGAGAGAAACGGAACACGGTTACGGACATTCGACCAATCGCGTCTAGTATCCGTAAATAAAGAAATAAATGATACCGGCTCGCTCGACTGTTTGTACAACGTGCGACGACGAGATCGCCGCGGCGCGGCACGCGTGCGGTCGGAAGCGTTAATTGCGTAGCGGTCTAGTCCTTGAAACAGTCACTAAACGAACAAAATAGCATGCTCGCGTCGCGAAACGTGTACCTTCGCGTCACGGGTTAGCATCGCGCTAGTGATTTTTGCGCGCGAAGCCAGGAGCCAGAAGCAAGGAACGAGAGAAACTGTTTGAACAAATTCTTATTCGAATCGAGGTCTGTGCCACGGCACGCGGCGCGGCCGCGCCACCGCCGGTGCGAGGTTTATAGGTCAGTCCAGTTTCGCGGGATATAGATTTTTCGCCGAGAGCTACCAGTTACCGATTAACCGCGCGCTATCCATCCAACATTCTCGTAGTCTCGCTTTGCTTTTACCATTTCGAAATGCCATGTTCCTTCTGGCTCGGCTTCTCTTTCGATCCGCTCGGTTATCTTTGTCGCTGTTCGTCGTGCTCTAACGAGTAGAAAGAATGGTAGCTTCGACGAGTCGAAGCACAAGTTTGTTGTAATTCGCTTAAAACTCGTAACAAGATCAATGGCACGCGTACGATCCAGCCCGGTTAATCCCGGCTAACGCGATTGCTCGTTCGTCGAGTAACTTTCCAACGAACCAACAGTTTTTCTAACGCGCAAAGTCGACGACGAGTCGTGCTCGCAAGTTGCAACGGCAGCGCCAGCCATCGATCTTTTTCGAGCGTACGCGACTCCGTTCCCTGACGAGCGTAAATAGCGATTGGCCGAAGCGTATCCTCGTCGTAACCTTGGATAAACGCAACAACGACCATGTCGCTCGTTCGATCGAGTCTCGACCAGACTGGACATATTTCGAACGAACGGGTTCGCCTTTGCGATCAAGTAGAAACGAGCGAAACGATAGGTTGCGACGCCGACGCCAGCGCTCCGCGTTCTCCGTTCTCTTCGCCCCTCCGCTGCATCCACCCTCTGGGTTTTGCTGCACCACCCCTTTTGCCCTTCCTTCCTCTCGACAGCTCCGCGCTTCCAGCAACGATGACCTAGTTCGCGGTAGCCGGCTGGAATCGTTTCTTCCGCACACGCCTCGGGATCCAGGTTACTCCGCGTCGCGTCGCGCTGCACTCGTCTCTGGGTGTTCGGTTTTCACACCCTCTCGTCGATTCGCCACGACCGTTTGTTCCACATTCGTTCGCCGTCGCATCGGCGATGCCAATTTTCCAGCTGACCGCGACCATTCGCTCGCGCAACTTTCAAGGGAAAGACGCGACCCTGTTTCAACGGGCCACCGATCGAGCTGCTTGTTTTTCTTTATTTATTTCTCGCACGGACGAGAGCGAAAAACGACCACGCACTTTTAAAGAAAACAGAGACGCGCCTCAGCGGATCTATGGGGGTGCGCGGCGGATTGTGCGTGTCTGATACGTTGCGTCGCGCGAAAGATAAAGGGTCTCGAAGGGTAGAAAAACGCGCGTAGAACAACGGCTGACACTGCGAGAACTCTCGCGTCTAGACCGACGGGATTCGCGGAAATGGAGGAGTCAAAGATGGCCGTACTCCCGAATACGTATACGCGCATACATTCGCTAACAATCCCTTTCAGCCTCCTCTTTTAGTCTTGTCTCGCGATAGAAACCACCTCGCCACCTCGCCTCGTCTCGCCTCAACGGTTCTTATTTCAAGATATGCTATTACGTCGCGGAGTTTCTTGTATCGATTCTTCGTAAAAAAAAACGCCTGTCCGTATAGGGACAAAGACGGGCGACTCGAGGCTAGGATCCTCGCGATTCGAGTCCAGTTTCCGATCCTCGAATTCGGTCAAAGGAACCGAGTTTACCGCTATACGGTTGCTCCGAGGATGTCGTTGCTTTTTACGAGCTGCAAACTTTGGAAGTGGTCCAATCCCGTTGCGGGCACATGCTTTGTAATCGTAGGTGGACAGCGCAGAATCCTAGCTCGCCACCGCGTATATTCGCACGCAACAAATTCCTGACAGACACGGCTGCGCGTCTACGTTCGTATCTTTCCTTGGTCATTGGATGATCGATCATTTCGCTCGACAACGCGAAACGATCTACTTTTGCCTTCGAATATCGAAATTCGCGCACGAGTCGCGGTTTGTTTTCTTCGCTGCTGCTTCTTCCGCATTACTCGATACCTACACACACCCTTCCACGTTTTCATCCCTCCATGAGTGAAATTTGCGCAGCGACCTCCTCCGGGAGTGGCAACCACCTAGCGAAAGGTGTCGGTGCAACGAGGAGGATATAGTATATGTATAATCGGGACACGCATCGAAGATGGCCGAACGCGAATCGAGACTGCAACTGCTGTCCCTGTTAAAAATTGACGGAAATTGGCGAGCGAATAGACGACACGCGTGCCGATAGAAAAGAGAAATGTGCGAGATAGAGGGGGGTAGGTTGCAAATAAATGTATGGAAGAGGAGAGCGGAGAAAGAGGGATAGAGGTATTCGTTGACTCGAGAACGTGAAATAATATGGCCTGCTTACGAGATGATGTCTAGCTGGTAAAAAATTACTAAAGTAATCTAAAAGAAAATGTAAATGTAATAACCGGCTAGGAGGATAGAGTAGGGGTGATACCGCGATGGAGCCTGGACAGAGGTTGCCGTCGACGCCCTACCGCTGCTTCCTGGTTTCCCTATATTGATTTTCTAGCGTGCCTCCGGCTAGACGGAAACAGAACGACGCAACGAGAAGGAGGGAAATGGTTGCCTCGTGCTCGAGCTCGCACACGGATACGTTCCTACGCGGAAATAGGCTATCCCGTTGCTCGTATGTGCGTGTACTCGTCCAAGGTGTGTAAGTCACGCTTGCGCCAACGAGTTTGCGAAAATCGGAGAAGGAGAAGTGGGTTGGAACAGAGGGGGTTGGGGAGAGCCGAGGGTTCGCGCAAGAGGGTGGAAAGAGAAGAACGTTTAGGGGTTGGAAGCAGTGAGAAGAAGACGCGAAAACGGAGAAGGTGGGGTTATACCTTTTACACCTCCAGCCGTGCTGCTGCGAGAAAGATGGGGAGGATTATCCGACATCGAGCTAGCACGCGTACGCGTTCTTCGTTTTTCGACCTGTCCTCCGGCTTCTTCGAGCCACCCTCTCTCTCCCTCTCTCTCTCTCTCTCTCTCTCACGCTTTTTATACTTTCCAAGCAGAATTTCGCCGTCCTCGTTCTCGTCCTCGTTCGTTCGACGAGAAATAAGTGTCACGGTCGTTTCGTTTTTCGTCTCGATGAGTCAAACTTTAGTTTTCGTTGCATCCGATCTAACGAGAGCACGGTTGCGAGATTCGTAAGCTTGCGTTATTTAATGAGAAAATACGTTACGAATAGGTATACGTAGGAACGATCGGTGTACGTCGCGTCGCGTCAGAGCCGCGTTTTGGTAGATCGCAGCGCGGCGCAGCTCGGAGGCTTGGCAAGTAGTAAGGGACGGTGCATGGCCAGGCAATCGGTCAGCCAGTTTCGTGCTCGAGGGATCGAGCGCGTTCCCCGGCTTACGAGTAAAGCCACTACGGCAGCGACTGATAGCATCCGTTATTCTTCGTTGCGTCGACCGTTCTTTCTAATTGGTCTATCTTCGAGAAGATAAAAATTACAAATAGCGTTGTTTCACGAAAGAAACGTTGAAACGATAACGAAACGACTCGGTTTAACGGGCTACGATGGCAACGAGATGAACGCGCGAGGCTGTTGTCTCGTCGATACATGGAACTAAACGATAGAATGTAGGTTGCGAAGCCTGATAGGAAGCCGAGAATTTCAACTCGCGTAGAAGCGATTTCGAAGGATTTGACGTTGGTATTGTATAAAACGGCGCGGGCGGTGGAACTTGGCCGATCGATAAGTTTTCTTTCGCTTGTTTCGAATCGTCTCGTGGAATATCGTATCGATAACAACGTAGCGGTATAAAATTGCCTGGTTTGATTCTTACGATATTGTTGCAGGATCGTATGACGGCCAATGGAAACTCACCGTTGGACAACATGAGAACTCTGGAACATTATTTGAGCGATATCATGCGAACCGGCGCTGCGGATACACCTGAACACGTAAAAGGTAAGCATCGTCGAGTACGTCGCCCGCGGACTCTTTCGAAGCGAAAAATCAAAAGAATCCGTTCTATTCTCGTCTCGATGATACGTGCTTATCCGATTCGCTTTCAGCTGTCGGGAACGCGTTAAGAATTCAGCAGCGAATCTCTGTTCCATTCTACGATTTACGCAGCTACCATCCGTCGAACGACTCGAGTTCGATTTACTCGCAACGTTTCGTACGAATCTCGTTTGAGTAACGTTTTGGGCTGATCGCGTGAAAGAAGCCAACTATTCGACCGACAAGACTAACGAAACAGCCAACCAGCCGACAACCACTTAACGTACCTCGGCCCTTATCGTCACCCTCCACTCGACGCGACTCGCTACTCGCTCTGCTCTCTCTCGTCGCGATATTCTCGCCGTGAAAATTCCACGCGTCCGGCTCGCACCGCGAAAGAAGATCGGGACGGAAGCGAAAGAAAAAAGAGGCTCCCGAACGCCAAAGCGTCTCGCTGCTCTCTCTTCCCTAGCTTTCTTTTTCCCGTCTACCCACCCTGTCTGCGAGCTCCGGGAACCCTCAGACAAGCATTCTCGCGCTTGTAGTCAAGGGCAAGGGTGGTATCGCGAGGCCTCTTCTTTCCAGTGCTCGTCCACACCGAAACCGTACGACGACCATGGCGACAAAGAAAGGGGAGTTGGTTCGACGATGTTCGCGGACAAGACTCGGAGACTCGAAAACACCCCAGCCAATTCGCGGCGCACCCTCGGCGAACTTGCCGAATTCGACAGTTCGAGTACACCGTTTCGAGCTTCTTACGAATCGTTTGGGTTTGCTTTCTTTCGCTACGCGCGATTCCCTCGAGTATTTTTCCAACGGATGCTCCTATTCGTTTCATCAGCTATCGCATTCACCGCTAATGGAACGAGCTTACATTCGCTGTTCGATTCTAGCCCAGACTATACAATAAATGGATCCTCGTTACGAACGCGTCTTTCCGGGAAGATAACGGTCAAGTTTGTTTGAACGAAAACGGTTTCGTTTGTTATACAAAGTGCTTGAGTAAAACGACATGCCTTTTCGAGATGGACTCGTTATTCGGCAATATTCTCGTTATCGGTTCCCAACCGGCTAAAGAGAAGCGCGAGAATAAAACGAGACGAGACGAGACGAGACGAGACGAGACGACGCCCGTCCAAGAGAATGCGGAAGAAGCGTCGCGGAAGGTGACACCTCCGCAGACCGGCGACTTCATTGTATCGCATAATTATCGTTTCCCGTCGGGATAGTCTTTTCTTTTTAGCTTGCCGCAGACCCTTATCCGCGCAATTAAAATCCGGTTACGATCGAAACGTCGCACCATCAGGTCCAACGATTCGTTGTTAGATGCGACACGACGAACACGCCACCTTAAAAAGAGACAACTTTCAATTGGGAGATACGAAACGAAAAGTGGAAAGGTCAACAGCGAAGATTGCACAGTCAAAATTGACAACCTCTCGTTTTCCGTGGATAGAATCTGGAGGAGTGGATCAAGGAATGTTTGCAAGTATCCGCGATCGCGACCGTGGGCTAACGGTTCAAAAAAAAGAAGAATCGCTTGCTCGTATCGATACAGAAAATCCCTCTCGGCGAGAAGAGGACGAGTAGAGTGGAGGGTACGATAGGATAGCATCGTAGCGTGAACAGGTTTTTATTCTGGAACAAAAACCTCTTTCGAGGCATTGTAAGGCTCCGGTGAGTGGGCGTGCTTCGCTGCGACGCCATCTTTGGAAGTGTCAGCACGGCACTTTAAACTGCACTAGTAGGTCAAGTCCCAGAAAATCCGAGCGTAACCTAGACGACGACGACGACGACGACGATGACGAACCGCGACACTGTTCGGATATGTTAGCCATGTTCGAGGCAACCCATAGCGTCGCCTTTGTTCTTTTGGCCGAGTTTCATTCGAATGGAGCTGGAACGGAACGTCCAAAGTATCCTTCGGGGTTCCATATGGCTATGGCGTACAAGAGAAACTTAACCTCCGTTAAAAATTTCGTCAAAAATACAAGGTAACTCTTTCCGCGATCGTCTATCGGCTGAGATAACCGAAGCGTCGCGATGCTTCGAATGTTTCCAATCGATTGCTCGTTTGCGACGTACGATGAAACGCGTGCGTGGGTATTTCACGGTGAGCAAAAGGCTGACAATGAGTAGCGGCCAACTTTGCGTCCTTGAACGCCGCGGGCTTTACGATTGCATTCCCTGACCTATATCGCGACTGCGCGTGTCGCGTAATCGGTTAGTAACGCCCGCGCCGCCGGGATTCGTAGAGGGTGGTTTTAACGCCGCTCTCGAGCCATCTAGGGTTTCATTGGATCGTACTTTCTCCCCTTCGTTTCCTTTCCATCGCCTCCACCTCCCTCTCGTTCTCCTCCTCCTCCTCCTCCTCCTTCATCCCTCTCGCTGCGGCATGTATAAGCGTAATACGTATAATTGAAAAGGTGAATGAATAAAGAGAGCAGCCGCGTAAATACGAACGAGCGTTGGGTCGAGATCCGGCCTTGAAAAAAGAACGATTAATTTTAACGCCAAGTACGTGTCTCCCTGTACACTACCCTTCCTTTCGTCGTCGATGACGTTGTTTTCGATTCCGTCTGTCCTTCCGTCGCCGCGTCGGACAAAAAAGAGGAAACGTTTGTTTCCGTGTAACCGTAGCGTCCCGCGTTCAAAAGTTACCCGTCACGTGGAACGAGTCGGCGAGTTCCCGTAGCAATAACGTCGTTCCGCGTAATCCACGATAAAATAGGCGAGCGTGAATCGTAGGTAACGCGTCGAAAAATAAAGGTAACGTCCGATAACGAGTGTAACGGTGCAAACAGTAACCGCGCGTGGCGATAAGGCGTGATTAGACTAAGAATAGAATTTCAAGCAGAGCTAGACGAAACGAATGATCCTACACGAAACAAAACTCGCGGTTTATATTCTAGTACAACCATCGGTACAGACGCGCATCGGTTTGCTCGTTTTCTTTTCCGCTTCGTAGATCGCACGTATCGTAAAGCGTAAGATACGCGTGGCATCGGATTTAGCAGTCGCTTCTCCGAGTACCGACCGAGTACGCGTTCTCTCCGAATGATTTGCGAACCAGAACAGATATATGCTGCCATCTGTAGGTCGTCTCTTCAAGAAACCAGAGATGCTTTGTATCGCGTATGCGCGCGCTATGTTTGAACGTTTCGTTCGTCGCGGGTCGATAACGGATACGTAGCCATGGGATTTCGTTAAAATAAAATTAAAAAAAGAATCGATACCATGAGAAGAAAGTCGAGTGTTGACGAGTACCCGACGAATCTGCTTCCGTGAAAGAGAACCGCGCACGTCGGCGATCGTTTGATTTTTTATGGAATCGTTCGTGTACGGAAAGGGCTTGTGTTCGAAAATGATATATTCGAAGCTGACCGTGCAAAATGGCACAAGGGCTTATTTAGATTCGATCGGAATTGGCTGGGTGCCTATTGACCAACTGCCACGACCAGCCGCATTGCAGTGACCTGCACCGTTGTCTGGTCAGAATTCGAGGAAATCCCAAAGGAACCGTTGCATCGCGTTGCATCGCGTTGCGTTGCGTTGCGTTGCGTTGGTTCAACCGGTATTTATATTTTCCGCGCACAAAACCTGTTTTCGATCGCGGATAAATATTTTTGGAGAAACCTTTCGACGCGTTACGCTCGCGTCGTTACTTTGCACCGATTGCTTGGTGGTCGGTTAAAAAACGTTTCAGAGAATGTCGTTATTTTATTTAGACGTTAGACTCGCTACGCCGCGCCACGAGCCGCGAGAAACGACTGGCAGCTCGATCCTTAGCCTCTACCGATTCACTGGTTGTTTTCTTGACTACGTTCAAATTATAAATAAACATTTGTCGGCATCCAGGCGAGCCTCTTTGTATCTTCGGTCCCATGCCATTAGCGACGTATGTTTAAGCCGGTACGCGGCTCATCGTCGAAACAAAGCCCCGCAAATATCCTGGGGGGACAAAAGGCTTACGTCAAAGAATAAAAAAAAAAGGGTAAAAGGGGTGAAAGAGCGAAAGAGCGAGAGTGGATGAAAGCGCTTGGCAGACGAACGAACGATATACACCCGACGCGACGATGCGACTCGCACCGGAACAGCGGAAACCACCCCTTGCTTGGCCTTGCGCTTGAAACCTAGCAAGGTCGCGTTTTCAATCGCGTTCTTACATCGTTTTTCAGTCGGTGCGTGGCATCGTCTGATCGACGCGCGACGAAATCTAGAAAAATCCGCGATTAGTATTCGTGGAAACTTGGTTCGATCTTTTGGGTCAAACGGTTGGGCGAAGCCACGCCCCGCGATTTATTTTCTCCATAGTTTCTCGACTCGTTCGGGAAACCGCGAGATTTCTCTCCGTGGTCCTGCGAAACACCGACAAAAAAAAATACGCCGCGACTACTCGCGGCGAACCAGAATCGCGATCGAAGGCAAGTTTATCGACGATTCAACCGGTGCCGCGGGCTGCGGTAGCTTCGTTAAGGTATCCGATAAACTTGCTAACGAAATCAATTCTCTCGCCAGCGGAGAGAAGAGAGGGTCGAGCTATCGCCTCGAAGCACGGCCAACTAAAAATTTCAGAACGCGCAACCTCGACCGAGAATCTTTAGCAAACCGTATCGCGACGGATCCGTTGGCGTTGGCGTTCGCGTTGGCGTTCGCGTTGCCGTTGGCTCGCCTTCTTCTCTGTTCGTGTTCGTATTCGCTTTCGAAACAGTACGCCTCGTTTGCGCGAAGCCAAAGGAAAGTTAGCGAATCTTGGCAAAGAAATTTCAGGCGGAAAGGTTTACCGATCCATCCGATTGTCATTTAGCGGAGCGTAAACGAGTATCGAGCAGCTTGGTCCGATCGCGTAGCAATTAAATATTTTTTGTCACGCCAAGAAAATTCTTCTCGTTCCGCTTCGTTTTCTCTCGTTTACCGCATTCGCCGCGTTTGCTGGCAGCCAAGCGTCGCGCCCTTTCGTTCGT